AAAAGCTCTAAAGCCAAACTATAGGTTAAAGTCACCATCAATGGGAAACACAGAGTTTCAGGGAGGGTATCTGAGCTAGCTGAGCATTTCTGTAGATGATAGGTAGGATGACAGTGATGTAATCAAACATCAAAAGCCATTTTACACATGAGCAATAGTCATACACTTTGATGAAAGAATTTTGTTTTTTAAATGATATATGAAAAATTTTGCTTAATATGACCAGGGACTAGAATTAACAAGGTCAATTTGGATTTTATTGTTGTTTGACATGAAGACGTTTTAAGGATTAAAGTACTTATATCATGGAAAACTGGATTTTCCTGGCTTTTCTGAAATAATACAGTTTGATGTCATATGTAAACACTGTCAGATCATAAAAAGTGTCAATCTATACAGTCCAAAGCTACAAAAATAACCATTTAAATGTATTGTTTTGGTGATGACATAAAAAGCATTTTATTATTACCTCCACTGATAGAGCCTACAGTAGGTTAAACTGGACCAGTCAAGTTATAAGGAGTGTTTTAGCAAGGCCTGCTTTTCAAATGAAGAGGAGTACAGTACAGCCAATCAACACAAAGACAACCTGTTTAATTCTACACTCTCAGAAAAAGGTACTACACCGTCACTGGGGCAGTTCCCCTCTTGTCCCTGGGGTGGGACCCTCAGGGTTCATCTCAGTACCTTTAGTCAGGGAACATAACTGAACCATAATCCACTGAAATGATATGTTCTAAGCTGTACTGACTCCACACACCCCGTCTCGCCTCCAGGCTTTTATTTTACTGTTCTGTTTTAAATCATTCAGTTATGAAAAGGTACAAATACGAACTTTTCACCTGGACAAACTTATTTAAGGTTCACAATCAGACCTTAAAACCACTGTTGTACCTTTGAGGGAACATTTACACTGTTTGTACCTTGATGAACAAAAAATGTACCTGAACAGAACCTTTATTTCCAACAGTGTAAAGGCTAAAAGGCCATGCAAAAATGAATAGTGACCATTTTTGCATATAAACCCACAGAAACGTAATACACAGACCTTCAAATGCAAAAATAAAATGTAGAATCTGTGCCCTTTAATTTTTAAATATTTTCTTTTAATAGAACCTGTCAGGTACAATTTAGACTCATCTTAAACACTTTTCAGTTACAGCTATAAACTCTACAGGTGGGCATCTATACAGCAGCCACTGTGACAATAACACAGGTTCCTGTTGAAACTTTGGCCACTGGTGTGTACTGTAGTGTCCTGAAGTCAAGAGTTTATCCGTGTGTGTGTGTGTGTGTGTGTGTGTGTGTGTGTTAGAGGGAGGTGGGGGTAATATTACGGGGATTACCAGGGGTCCATAGGCCCTGGGGCTGGTGGACTGGGGGGGGTTTGGGGGGTGCTGTTTCCTGGCTGTAGCCTCTGTTTGTCCCGCCTGACCTGGCAGCACACGGGGCAGATCCTGCTTGGATGCCCCCCCAATCCCACGCCTGTCTGAAACTGTTAGCCAGCCGCCGTGAGTGGCTAGCTGGATTTAACGCGTCTGGGCTGGGGGCAGTGGGGGGGGCGCCGGGGGGCTTTGAGCAGGGCAGGCTGGTCTGAGGGTGGAGGCTGTTATGGTTTATGACTTCAGTTTGATTCATCGCACCATTTCTTTCATAACAGCCAGTCAGAGAGGCAAGCCATTGAATCCTGTTGGTTTAACCTTTGCTTTGAACGCTGCCTGTCTGCACCCCCCCATCCCTCACTCTCTGTCTCTCTGTCTCTTTCTCAATCTCTTCTGCCAGCTCACAGTTGCCCATAAAATATATTTATTTCCTTATGCATGTATGCAAACATTTGAACACCCTGTCACATTGTGTTTTACTTAATAATATGAGTAAAAACAGCATTTAATGCATTAATGTATTGAAAGAGAAATAAAACATAGAATGTAAAATGTGCCATTACTTTTGCACAGGCCACTTCTTATATTTTATTTTTTCCCCCAATATGTTACACTAAAATGAACAGTAACTATGCATGAAAGTGGATGTATTTTGTAGAGGATGCTACCTTATTTTCACGTAGATCGGGGTGCCCAAACTTTTGCATTCAACTGTAAAACTCTCAGCCTGGCTATATTTGTTTACTGTCACTGTTCACACTTCAAAAAGTTGCAATGATGTTTTTTTCACCTCAGCAAACTTATTTAATTCAATATTCTCTTTTTTTTTGGCCTTATACACACTTATTACACCCTAACAACACAAATCCAGATGTTATACACAGTGTATAATACTGTTGTTAATGCTGTTAATGAACATATAAAGGATAAATGGTAGTAGACCTGCTCACTAACTCTTCTGCCAACTTTCACCCTAAAAAAAGAGGGAAAAAAAGGAATGAATTGGCACTATTTACTTTTCTGCTCGTAAAGCTTTGACAGCTCAATTGCTGTTTTCAGAAGGTTGTTATTATTTTTCAATTGGTGGATTGAAAGTCGGGTTTGACAGTCGGTTACAACCTCTCTGGGTGTTGTTTCTAGCCTAGATCCACAGCTGCAGCCAGAGCAAACTGCGAGAGAAAGCAAGAGGGCGAGAGGGGGAGAGAGGGAACGTGATGAAAGACGGAATAACCAACAACGTAAGGAAGCTGTTTCTGAGTATGTTTATGAGAACGTTTGCCGTTTCTTCACTTCCACACCTTCTTTAATCACCATCTGCTTCTCTGAAGCCGAAATTTTCTTTTAACGGTTGTTTACCTGCACTCGTTTTCTTATCTGTTCATTTTCAGTCAGTCTCTGTAGATGTTGTCCAGTTTGTGCTGTAGATTGGCCGGCAGCACCGTCCCCTTCCTCCTCTTAATCCTGCCATTTTGGCCACTCTTGGTCAGAGGTGTGGACTTCACGGCCCCGAGCTCTGGACATTCAGGCTTATCTAAAGCTCACATCTCACTTAAGATGTATATTCTACAAGCTTAAACCTTCGCTCTGCACAAAAAGCAGAGAATCACAGTGAAGTCTGTAAGTTTAATGCACAGCTGACAACTCTGATCATCTTTATTACAAAATATCAACTGATCTTAATTAAGTTTATATCAGTATCAGTGATGCCTGTTGACCCAAATGACAAGCAGAGCAGAATGAATTCTAATTACTAATAAACAGGTATTTATTTAGAATATGAAGTATTAATAACACATATACCTTCAATTACACAAATTCTAAAAGATACAATTTTATTCACTCTAATCATTGATGACATATAAAACTTAGTTCATGTTAATTATTACTGACACACAAAATGTCATTTGGAATAGTTATTATCGACCAAACTTTATTAGTGGTGATCATTAATCATTGATAAACCACTAATAACAATCATGAACAATTTTCAGGACGAACAAAAATCAGCTAATGCTAATTATTAACGATTGACAAAATGTCATTTATACTAGTTATTAATGACCAAACTTCATTAGTGGTCATTAATCACTGATAAACCATTAATAACAATCATTGATTACAGTTTTACAATTGTACAACCATTTTTGTCCTTTTTGAGGACAAGCAAAGCAAACCTAATATTAACTATTAACAACAGGCAAAATGTCATTTATACTAGTTATTAATGACCAAACTTTATTAATAGCAATTATTAGAGATAGAGAAAATTCAATCAACAACTAATATTTAAGACGGATAAAAACGTCATTTGTAGCAGTTGTTAATGACCAGATTTCAGTAATGGTGATTATTAATGATCATTATAACAATCATTAAAGGCAGATAAAACTTCATTCATAGAACTATTGATAACAGAATTTTATTTATACCACTGATTAATAATGATAGATAAAATGCCTTTATTATCAGCAAATATTAAGGACACAAAACTTGCTTCATACTAATGATTAATGTTAGATAATGTTATTTATATTATTGTGTTGGTAAAAAGCAAATTTGTGCCTTGAATCTAGGCCTAATCTTCAAATCATAGTATACGACTGTCTGAGATTTGATACTAGATTAATACACTGTCTAGTTTTGTTTCTAAATTTTGTTACTGACCAAACGTAAATATTGGTACACTGTAAAAAAATGGCTCATCAGATCAACCTAAAACAATTACTTGTGAAATTAATTACATGTAACAGGTAAATTAACTAGATTTATTCAACCTAAACAAACATTTTGAATGAACGATTCTTTCAATCAGTGTAATTTTTGAATAAATTGTTGAATAAATCTAGTTCAATTGCTTGTTAGTACTTAAAGTAAATTTTTTTTAGGGAGAATCAATGAACCATTTTTTACAGCGTAATTATTAATGACCATTAACTGTCATTAATAACAACTATTAATGACATAAAATGACTTTCATGTTACTTAATGACAGATGATGGAACTGCATTTATAGGACATAGATCTTCCCCTTTCTGGGGCTTTAACTAGGGAAACATTTGTGTTTAGTTTCACTTCTTGTGAGTAAAATAATCTACATTTCCCTCAGTTCTGTTCTAGTCCTACATATATTTTGGGGTTTAACTTCATTCTGTTGTGTTGGTTCAGCTCCTGTTCAGCTTAGCTGTTACTCACTCCTCTCACTTTGGAGATTTGGCTTTATTTGATGCCAAAAAAAGAGAAGAACAGAGTTCAACTTCACTTTCGATGCAGACAGAAGTTGAGTTGCACTGCAGTTCTACTGGTGGCACTATTTCATAGTTTTACTTCAGTGCAGTTTTGCACTTCTCTACCACTCTAGCCCCCCCGCAACGCCCCTCCATGGCACCTCCTCTACTCACGTTATCAGTGGAGATAACCCCTCCAGCTCCATCGTCACAGCTCGTGTCGTCACTCTGTCCAGCTTATAAAGACACACACCTGGCGAGACAACACACACATACACATGCACAACACACACACACACATCCATAAGAGCATCCACCATCTCCCTCGCTCACGTGCTGTCTCGCTGATACGTAACGTTTGTACGTATAAAAGTTCAAACATCCACTTTTGTTTATGAATCTGGCGAGTTTCTCGTTCTTCTCCGGACCGTGCAGCATGACCGCGGAGGCGCAGCTCTCTCCGGCCGAGGCTGCGAGTCCCAGCGCCGGATTGGGCTCTCCGCTAGCCCCGCCCTCCCTCATCCTCATGCACGAGGAGCCGGGGGTCAAGCCCGTCAGCCCGGGCGCGGAGGAAGGAGAACCGGACGGTCAGAGAGAGAGCCAGGCTGGTCAGAACGGCCAGCAGCAGACCACAGAGGAGGACCGCGTCTCTCTCGCGCCCACCGCTGGGGGGCGCCGCCGCAAGCGTCCCGTGCAGCGCGGCAAACCTCCGTACTCGTATATCGCGCTGATCGCCATGGCCATCGCGCACGCGCCCGAGCGCCGGCTCACGCTGGGCGGCATCTACCGCTTCATCACCGAGAGGTTCCCGTTCTACCGCGAGAACTCCAAGAAGTGGCAGAACTCCATCCGCCACAACCTCACGCTCAACGACTGCTTCGTGAAGATCCCGCGCGAGCCCGGCAGGCCCGGCAAAGGGAACTACTGGACGCTGGACCCGGCGGCCGAGGACATGTTCGACAACGGCAGCTTCCTGCGGCGCCGCAAGCGCTTCAAGCGCGCGGACGCGAGCGCGTCGTACGCGGCCACCGCCGCCGCCGCCGCAGCCGCCGCGGCCGCGGCCACGTACCATCACCCCGTGCACGCGCATCACCATCATCATCATTCCGTGCACGCGCATCACGCGCTGTACCCGAGCTACGGCTCCCAGGTGCTTCATCACCATCCTCATCCTCACACCCAGTATCAGCCCAGGACGTTCAGCATAGACGACCTCATCAGCCAGCAGATGCCGGAGATCAACGTGCACGCGCATCACACGCACTCGCACTGCCTCGGCCTGGGACTCGGTGGCGGGGACTTGAGCGCGAGCGCGGCTGAGCAGCAGAGCGCGAGCTTCCCGCCCCCTCAGAGCGTGAACGCGGTGAGCGTGAGCGCGAGCGCGAGCGCGCCGCTGGCCAGGAGTTCCGCTCCCGGTTTCTCGTACCCGTGCGCGCCGGTGGTCTCCTCCGTGTCGGTGTCGGCGTCGCAGCTCTCGCCGCAGCCGCCCGCCTTCTCTCCGCCACCAGCAGGCGGCGCCGCGGCACAGCTTTACTGCGGCAAGCACGCCGAGCCCGCCGTGACGTCATACGGAGGCGCGTACGCGCGGCAGGGGAACTACGGCAGCGGGCTCGAGCGGTACATGTGAGACTAACGCAGTCATTGCCAGCTGCGTCACTGTGGACCAAACAGCTGTTTACTGACTGTGGGTGAGAGCTGTGATGATGTAATCTGTCTTAATAAGGTGGAAATCATGTTAATACGGAGCCCCGCTGTTTAAGTAAAAATAATGCGTGGCCACGACTTAGTAAGACATGGGAACAAGATAATTAAGTCGTGGTCATGACTTAGTAGGGTGTGGGAACGAGATCTTAATGCTTGGCCATGATTTAGTAAGGCATGATCTCATTCCCATGCCTTACTAAGTTGTGGCCACGACTTAGTAAGGCGTAGGAATGAGATCTTAATGCGTGGCCATGACTTAGTAAAGCATGGGAACAAGATCTTAACATGTGGCCATGACTTGTGATCTCATTCCCACACCTTACTAAGTCATGGCCACACATTGGGATCTTGTTCCCATGCATTAATAAGGCGTGGCTACACATTATTTTTATTTATATGGGATCATTACATATAAATAAAAATAATGGATGAGCACGACTTTTGGTTTGGGAATGAGATTATTAAGTTGTGGCCATGACTTAGTAAGGCATGGGAATGAGATTCTGATGTTTGGCCACGACTTAGTAAAGCATGAAAATGGGTTAATTAAGCTTTGACCACAGCTTAATAAGGCAAGATCTTGGTCACATGCTTTACTAAGTCATGGCCATGCATTAGGATCTTGTTCCCACATGTTAATATGGTGTGGCCACGCATTACTTTTATTTATACAGGGCGTCACCAGCAGGGCTCCGTATGTACAGGTTTGAATCGAGTAAATTCAGTGCAGCACTTTTCACTTCTTCACTCTTTAAAAGGCCACATTGGGTTCACTATTTAAAAAAGTCACCACTTAGGGTTCTTTGAGCGATGCCACCGAAGAACCACTTTTGGTTCTCTAGACTCTCAGAGAAAGGTACTAAACTGTCACTGGGGTGGTACCCCTCCTAAAGGTCTTTAGTATCTTTAGGGAACATAATTGAACCATAATCCTTTGCAATCATATATTTTTTTTAAGTTTCAAGTCTCCACGCACTCTTTATTTAGTCCAATTTATTTTATTGTTCTGTTTTAAAACATTCGGGTTCTAAAAAGTTAAAATATGCATCTTTACCCTGGAAAACATATATTTAAGTACTCAATAGGAGCTCAACTTGTACCGTGATGAAGGACAAATGTACCTGCACAGAACCTTTATTTCTAACAGTGGAAAAACCATGTCTGAAAAAGAGATTTGTAAGGGTGAAGAACCTTTTGAAGATTTAAAGAAGTGACACAGACTTCCTTGAACCTTTACATCACATGGAGGTTCTTTGAAGGTTCTACACCCTCACACATCTCTTTACTCATTTTCAAACGTGGTTCTTTGTTGATCCGCAAGTGGTTCTACGGCATCGCTCGAAAAACACTCTTAAAAATAAAGGTGCCAAAAGGATTCTTTACTTTAATTCATAGAAGAACTATTTTGTTTCCCTAAAGAACCTTTCAAATGATGCTTCTTTAGGGAACCTATTTTGTAAATGAGTTGTGAGAGAGTATAACAGTTCTTTACTAATTTGAGTTCTTCCTAGAAACTTTGCTTTATTTGGAAGTTCTGTGAAAAAAAGGTTTAACACTCTTACACAGATTGTTCTAAAAAAAACATTCATTGAAAAGGTTATTTAGAGAACCAAAAGTGGTTCTTCTATAACATCACTCAGATAACCATTTCTGGCCCCTTTAATTTTAGTAGTGTTCTTCGAGTGATGTCACAGAACCACTTTTCATTCCCTAAAGAACCAGAGATTTTTGAGTGTGGAGAAGCTTTTAAAGATGTAATGAAATTCACAGATTTTCTAGAACCTTTACTTTCTGTGGCGATTCTTCAAACTTTTAAAAGGTTCTTCAGACTCATTTGCACAAACAGTTCCCCAAAGAACCATCCATGAAGAGGTTCTTTAGGGAACCAAAAATGTTTTTTCTATGGCAATGCTCAAAAAACCCTTTATTTTTAAGAGCGTTCTTTGAGTGTTGCGATAGAAGAGCAACTTTTGGTTCCTTAAAGAACCATATTTGAAAGACAGTTGTGAGTGAGGAATCTTGTACAGGTTTAAAGAACATTTCACATAATATAAAAGCTCTATACCAATTTGCTTTAAACTTTAAAAGGGTTCTTCACTTGCACATCTCATTTGCAAAAGTGGTTCTCTAAAGAGACATCCAGTTCTTCACACTCATTTGCGAAAACAGTTCTCCAAAGAACCATCCATTAATAGTTTCTTTAAGGAACCAAAAATGGTTCTTCTATAGCAATCCTCAAAAAACCCTTTATTCATGAGAGCGTTCTTTGAGTGATGCAATAGAAGAGCAACTTTTGGTTCCCTAAAGAACCATGTTTGAAAAGAGATTTGTGAGTATAAACAACCTTGTACAGGTTTAAAGAACATTTCACATAATATAAAAAATGTATAAACTTTAAAAGGTTCTTCACTTGCACATCTCATTTATGAAAGTGGTTCTCTAAAGAGCCATCCATTTAAAAGGTTCTTTAGGGAACCGAAAGTGGTTCTTTAATGACATCATGCAAAGAACCCATTGTGGCATCTTTTTGAAAGTCTTACACATTACAACATAGAGAAATATTAAAAATATCGCTGCTGTCGGAACAAAACCTCGAATCTCCATTTTTCAGTTTTTGTCATAATTTGAAAATGCCTAATGTTCTTTACATTGTATGTAAATTTCAGAATGAATGGATGAAAAGAAACGACCCAAAATGACTTGGAAAAACGTCTGGTTCCATTGACTTACATTAAAAGTGAAAGTAGGTTTTTTCCTTCTCCTGTAAAGTTACCATTTTGGAGATACGAGGTTTTGTTTAGACAGCAGCGATATGTTAATTTAACACTGTAGATCTTATGATGTGCAACGTTTTCTTTCTCTGTTCCTGTTTTATTTGGCATTTTGTTGCTGAAGTACTGCAGTTACTCTATGAATTTAGTGTGTCAGTCTGTTCTGCGTGAATAAAATGTGCTACATCAACATAGATCCTTCTAAAAGACAGCAGATCATTGATGTAACATACTTTACACAGTGATCCTCCAGTCATAAATGTAAATGTACCGACTGAACTGGACCTTCTTCAGCAGAAGCAGCTCAAACTCACATTTCAACATGTCTAAAACAGAACCTTCACTTCCAGCCGGTACAGGAGTTTATTTTATATGAAGTGTCTTAACTTAATTACTGCCTTAATTACTGAACTATAGCAGCAGCTATAAGCAATAACTACAGTGGTGGCATTAATATCCTGTCCACATGTATATGGGCATAATATTAATGTATAAATGTACAGTGAGGTCTACAGTGTTATCCCTCTCTCCACATGTTAATTTATATGTTAAATATCTGCAACTCTGATTGGCCAGTGCTGATGATGCTGTATATATTTATCCAGTCTGGCCTGTTGGGTTTGTTTCTGAATGTAGTCAGGAAACAGTGCTGTAGCGTTTATATGCATTTCTATACATTTCTATACATTTCCATCTTTCAGTCTTAAACCTGAGCTGTAAATATGTTTAAAGTAATAAACCAGTTTTGTGTAAAACCTTGTTTTCTTCTTCGTCTTCTTCTTAAATTAAATAATTTAATTGCAGATATTGTTTTATGTGCCAGTGCACTCAGTGTCTGTTAGGCTTTCATAAATATTGTGATGAATCTTAATTTATCACCACATTCCAGATTTTTTTGGTTTATGTTTTGTGGTGACGGCAAGCTGGATGCTAATCAGCCTGGATCGATTGGTAACAGGTTGACGTCAGTTATGATGAAAATCCAAAAGACGCCAGAAAATAAACGGGACTTTTTCCATTTTTGTCGGACCTTGCTAAGGGAAGTCCAGAGAGGCCATGAGGTAGTTATAATTTTCTGGATTGTTTGAGATACCGAATTAATTGTCTTGTTATCTCAAGATAACATAATAACGAGCTATTTATCTTGTTATCTCAAGATAACAAAATTGTTATCTTGAAAAAATGAGTTACTTATCTTGTTATCTCAAGATAACAAAAGTTGTCATATTGAGATAGCGATCTTGTTATCTCGAGATAACAAAAGTTGTCATCTTAAGATAACGAGTTATTTGTCCTGTTATCTCAAGATAACAAAATTTTTATATCGAAATATACTTATTAAATGTTATTTTGTTATCTCAACATAACAAAATTGTTTTCTTGAAATAATGAGTCTCTTGTTATCTTGAGATAATAAAAGTTGTCATCTTGAGATAAGTTATTTATCTTGTTATCTCAGCATAAAATTGTTATCTTGAAATAACAAGCTATTTGTCTTGTTATCTCAACATAACAAAATTGTTATCCTGAAAAAATGAGTTATTTATCTTGTTATCTCAAGATAACAAAATTGTTATCTTGAAAAAATGAGTTACTTATCTTGTTATCTCAAGATAACAAAAGTTGTCATATTGAGATAACGAGTTATTTATCTTGTTATCTCAACGTAACAAAATTGTTATCTTGAAATAACAAGTTACTTATCTTGTTGTCTCAAGATACCAATCCAGAACATTATAGCAACAGCTCATGGCCTCTCCAGACTTCTGTATTTTTCACTCTAAATTCTACATATTCATTTAAAGTTTTCGTTTAGCTTTAGTTATTAAACAATGCAGTTACTCTGTTCCGCTGATTTGGTTGAAAATAACAGCAGATCGAGAATTGATCTGTATAGTACTGCAGTTTCTGTCTCTCCCCTGTTTTCTATATCATAACAGAGCACTGAAGGCGTGAAGGAGAGAAGCACCCGCTTTTGGAAACTTTACCAAAGTTAAAGTGAGTATAATCATTTTACTGAAGGCGGTGCGACACCGTGTGGACACTTTAAAAATAGCAGTCATGAAATGTACTAAGGAGTTTAAGCACTGCAGAACTGTTACAGTCTAATACAAATATTTTAAGAAATGAATTGGCTACTAAGCAATTACAA